TTTTTTATTACCGATTTCATATAAAAAATAAAAAAAGGTTAATAAGTTCTACCAACGTTATTAAAAAAAAAAAAGAAAATAATTTAATTTTAATGTTTACCTAATGAAAAAAATAAAAAATTAAATTTGTTACCGTTAATTTCCCCCCCCCCCCCAATTTTAAAAATAAATAAGGCGCTGAAAAAAATAAGGCCCCTCGAAAATTAAATTTGTTTAAATTAATAATAAAAAAGGAGCGTTATGAAAAATAATTAAAAATTTAATAAACAATTTTGAAAAGAAAAACTTTTTTTTTTTTTTTTTTTAATTTTCCTCCATTTACCGCGAGTTAATTAATTAATTAATTATTAATTATTAATTAAATTAATCTTATTTAATATTATTATTATTATTATTAATGAGATAATTTAATTGTTAATTTGTACCAATGAAATATTTCATAACTTTTTAAAATTATTAAATAAAAATAAAATAAAATTTTTTTTTCTTACCTTTCCTTTCCTTTTTCCTTTTTCCTTGTTTTTGAATGGGATTGGTCAAAGGGAAAAATCTCGCGTTTGCGTTTTGATGTGTATGTGCGTGCGTGTGTCTCTGTTTGTTGTGTTTGTGTGTCTGTTGTTATTATAAACCATTTACTCATTTCTCTAAGCGCTTTTTTTTTCCTCCTATAAAATCTTTGCCGCCACATCAACTTCGGTTACATCAAATCAAACTTTTAACGGTTAAAAAAATCTAAAAAGAAAAAAAAAAAAAAAGTTTTAACATCGTCATTTATTATTATTATTATTATTATTATTATTATTATTGTCACAGTAAAAAGTTTTTTATTAATAATTTTTTTCGGTATTTTTTTAATGTTTTTTAATTTTTTAAATAAATAAATAATTAATTAAAATTTATTCATGAGTGAAAAATAAAAAAAAAAATTGTCATGTGGTTAGCTTAAATATTTAAAATTTTAAGTTAAAAATTAAAAATAATAAGAAAAAATTATTACAGACGAGTATAAAAAAAGGTAAGTTATTTTTATTTATGTACATAATATTAATAATAATAATAATTTTATTTAAAGTGACGTTTTAACTCGTAACTGAAATTATCATTGGAAAAAAAAATTTTATTATTATTAATCTCGTACATTATTCGTAATAATATTAATAATTATTATTAATAACTAATGAAAATGAAAAACGTTATTATTATTATTATTATTATTATTAATAATTATTATTAGAAATCCGATTCTATTTCAAATTTTTTTTTTTTTTTGTCAAAGGAAAAGAGAATCTGCCAAGATAAAAATAAAATTTTTCTAAATTCGCACAAACGTAAATAATTTAAATATTACAAAAAAAGGGGCGGGAAGGGAGGAGGTCAGGAATTAATTTGGAAAAATTTAGTCGATATTACAAACCCCCCCAAAAAAAAGAAAAAAAAAATTTTTTTTCCCTCCCGTTGATTTTATAATTAATTATAACTCGGAAAATTTTTTCAACCGTTAATAAAATTTCATAAATTGTAACACGAAATTGAAATTAAAAAAAACACTTCAAATTATTATTATTATTATTATTATTATTTTTTCCCACGTACGTTATGTAAATTATTTTATTTATTTTTTTATTAACGTATCGTTAACATTATTTATTTTTATTTTAAATTTACGAAATACGAATTTCTTCGTTCTTGCAGAAAAAAAAAAAATATATAAATCATTGTTTTCTCCTTTCCCCTCCCCTCACCTCACCTCCCCTTCTCACCTTCCCTTCCTTCTCCCGATTTCTAGAACAAAAAATAAACAATAACAACTGAAAAAATAAATAAATAAATTCGTTCCATTATAAGTGTACAAATATTACAAAACTCACATAAAAATTATTAACCAAGTTATATAAATTATTATTATTATTATTGTTTAAATTATTTTAAATATAATTAAAAGTAATGATTACGTCATCAATCGATATTTATTTTATTAACGTTAATAAATCAATAAAAGAAAAAAAAGAAATGGAAACGATTAGGATTAAATCGAAAGATTTATTTTTTTGCACATTGCAAAAACGCAAGGATTTAATTGGTCATCATCATCATCATTATCAACATCATCATCATCATCATCATCATCAACATCATCATCATCATCATCATCATCATCATTGTTATTTAATATTAAAAATAATTATCAAAGGTCAACAATAATTGTAATGAATTTGTTTTTTGATGTAATAATATAATACATTCGTAACGAGATTATTATTATTATTATTATTGTCGATGCGGGGGAGGGGGGGGGGTGAAAAAATGTTATTAAGTAAATTGCATATGAGGATTAAACGTTTTTGTTTTTTGTTTTCAAAAAAAAAATTTTTAAGGATTTGAACAATTCCGAATTACAAATAAAACTTTTGATGTGATTAAAAATATTATTATTATTATTATTATTATCATTATTATCATTATTATCATTATTATCATTATTATTAGTGTTTTTAATTACGATGGTAACATCAAAAAAGTAAATTCAAAAAAAAAAAAAAACATTCGATTGATTATCACAAAGAAAAATTAAATTGGTTCCGGATTAAAAAAAAAAATGGCGCGGGAGTAGGCGGAAGTGACAAAAGTATCTGGTGACACGACAATTTTTTTTTTTTTGTTTCCCCCTTACTCACCCTTTTGAATTATTTAATAACGTTTCTCGATTAAATTTAAAGTTTAATTAAATTATGTGTTAGAAAATGAAAAAAAAAAATTTTTATTTAAAAAAAAGGGAAAAAAAAAGTTTTTTTTTTAATTTCAAGAGGAAGTCGTTTATTTATTTATTTTATTTATTTCCTCAAGGTTCAATTTCAATTTATTTAAATATTTTTTTAAATCACTTTATTAAATCTCCCTGTTTTTCCCTCTCTCTCTCTCTCTCTTTTTCTATCAAGGTAGAAAAATTGTGTGGACCGTTTTTAGAAAGTTTTAGAAAATAACAAAAAATTTTTTTCTCTCCCCATTTTCCGATCGTTTGTATAAAAGTGCGAGTAATCGAAATTTCGAGAAAGAAAGGGGGCGGCCGACGTTTTTTTGTTTCCTTTTGAAGTTTTTTTTGGAAAATTTTGATTTATTAGGACTTTTATCAAAAAAAAATTTTGCTCGAAGGTGGTAAAAAAAAAAAGAAAATTTTACTACTTTATTATTATTATCATCATCATAAATTATTATTTTCGATGATGATGATGATGATGATGACGATAAATAATCCGACATTTTTTTTTTAAATCTTCGATATTGGTTTTAAATGATTAATAATTAAAATTTTCCCCCTTCCTTCCTCCCCCTTTTTAGCCCCCCCTTTTATTTCCACAAAGTTATCTAGTCCAAACCGTAAATTTTATGTATAATTTATGTATATATATCATTACGTAATCTTTTTTTTTTTTTTTGTTTGTTTTCTTATCATAAACATTCAACAACAAAAAAAAAATGATAAAAAAGTTTTCACGAAAAAAAAAAACGGAAA